TGTTTGCATTAGGACAGATTTATTTATTTATTTTTTAGCTAGGTATGCTATAGTAAAAATAATAGCAGAGTAGTTAAGCAAATTAAAATGCTCTCAGTTTGGTGTCAGAAGGGCTGGTTCTTGCTTCCAGCCTGGTGTTTGAAGATGTGCAGCAGGCTGGTGTCACTCGTTTCTCATTAGAGCCTTGTTGCATTCTGTATTTGTGAGGACTGATTTTAGCATCTGCAGCTGAAGGGAAACCCCTCAGATGTCGATCCATCCCAGAGCGGGGTGTGAGGGAGGTCCACTGCTGGCTGTGCCAGGCTGAATCCGGCAGCCTCTCCTCTGGCCAAACTTTGCAGCAGAAAGGTGAAAAATGTCTGTTACGCTCATCCAACTGGAATTTTCCCCCTAAGGTGAATGCCTCATTAGGAGGGGAGGGAAACCAAACCCAAACGGTATCTGGTACTTGTGCGATGCTCTGAGCCAGAAGCGTGTTGCTTTCTGTGGGTCTGCAGCTGGGCACCAGGGCACTGCTGTACACTGGGCTCACCCAGGGTGTTTGCTGCCTCTGGACAGCAGAAGTGGAAACTTCCACTTTGCGATGTGAAGGCAATTTTGACTTGAACGTATGTTTTGTGTGAGTAAGGATTTGCTTTTTACAGTCTGTCAGTCCATGTGTTTTATGTTTCAGTGTAACAGGTGACTGATGGGTGAGGGAAGGAATGGTCAAACCTCAAAAGCTTACAAAAGCGTTAAACTGTTGTTAATCGTGTTCTGTTTCTGAATGACAGACTGATAATGTAGAAATAGTTGGAATGAGGAGTTCATTGTAGTTGTACAATATCTTTTATTATGTTTCTTATTAAGCTGGCCATAATAAATCACTTACTGAGTTACAAATCAGTAATGCAATGTGGAGGGGGAAATGCATTTTCTTTCAATGTACTTTAAAAAGCATCTGGAAAGTAGGGCATGCTGGAAGGGTTGTGTGGGGTGCAACACCCATGTACTGGATGCTATCGCTTGTCGTTGCTGTGAGGGACCTGAAGAGCAGCTGGGTGCCTCTGGCGGCCACTGCCTCCCACACTGGTGTGAGGCCACATTGCAGCATGCTTGGGTTTTGGTTGTTTTCTGTGTTGAGCTGGGGTTCTGTGTGGCCCTGGGTTCATCACACTGTGTGTGTTGCTGCAGCAGCTGCTTTCCTGGCAGAGGAAACCGGCGGGTCTGCTAGAAATGACCCAGCGGCCAGGTCTGGTCAGCACATCCTGCCAGCACTGGTAATTGTTACAAGTTTAATAGTACAACATGGTCTTGGCCATGGTCTTGGATTAAAAGTCTGTGTTTTGCAGGAGAATTAAGAGGACTGTGGGTTGAGAGTTTGTGTTGAATCTCCAGTAGTGGCAGGAGTTTGGGGGTTGTTGTTTGAAAAAGAAACACAAAGCAGCACATGCAGTGTGGGCTGCTGGAGTTGTAAAGCAGGCTGTGTTACTAGCTGCAGGAGGGTTAAACAAAAATATCGACTGTTTCACTCATACATGAGAATTAATATGTCTTTTTTTATGACTGACTCAATTTCTGCTGCTGGCTCAGACTCTTCTGTTACTGTCAATGACGTTTGGCTGTTCTGAACATGGCCCCGCTCTGCTCTACAGTCAGTGCAGCCTGCAGGGCCCAGAAACCTCCTGCAGGAGCAGGGCAGGAATGAGCAGTGAAGGAGGAAGGTGCCAAAGAACAGAAAGCTTCCTCCGCTGGCAGAAAATCCCTTTAAAGGAGTTTCTTCCCTTTCCAGCCGTGTGTTGGAAACCTCTGACAGAAGGACACTGGAAACTGGATGATGATTTTAAGAAGCTGTAGCCTTCCCCCCATCAATTAACTGCATGCATTTACAGGGCAAAATCAATGACGTTAATTGGATCTACTCAAAATCTTGGTTGTGTGAACTACTCAGATCTTTTAAAATAAATAATTTCTTGCAGGGTTCACAGGGGACTTTTTCAGGCTTGGTTGGTTACTTTGGTTTATTGTCCCCATGATGTGCGCTGCCATCTGCAGCACTCTGGGGTGCACTTTTTAGAGGAATACAAGATGTCCAATTCTGATTAAGGACCACTGCAATGTTCAAAGCAAAAATACTGAATTAATTATTAAAATACTATTAAAGACCAATTTCTAATAAAGATGAAAAGAAGGATAGATTCAGAGAGTTAAAATGTAAAGTCAAATAAAAGAGGAAGGTGCTTAGAGTGTAGAAATACATCCTGTAATTAGCAAAGAAAATGTCTGATATGCTGCTCGTCTGCCAGTCTTTCACTTGTTCACTTTTGTGTCATCATTTTCACCATGCAGCTTTAATGAAGGAACTTTTAGGGGTGTGTTTTACATATTAAGGCAGAAAAAACCCCAACCCACCAAAGAATAATCTGTACCATTTCAAGGTGGTACATTACATTGTATGGTATTCAAGATAAGGACTTCAAAGAACGTTTGGAGAGATCAAACATACATGATTGTGAGGCTTTAACTGATAATTTTATTTTAAAATTACCCGGCATATAAGGTTGACATTAAAAGTAAATCTAAATGTAGGGCTGGGAGAAAACTTTGCCATCCAATTCAGTTTTCACTGAATTGTGTGTTGTTTGAAAAATCAAATAGAAGTTTTTTATTTGGAAACACTCCTCATGCCCTGTAGTGATTTGAACTTAAATTCCTGTATAATATTCATTTATTGCTGTACCCAGGCTTGTGCCTGTGCCTCCTCTGGCACCTTTTGAGCAGGACCTTGCAGGCTGTCTTTGTCCTTGTGCCTTCTGAAAGGCAGAACGAGCTGTGGTTTGTGAAATGTAATTCAAAAAGACCATGGTTTACATGGAAAATAAGAAAGTGATAAGTCCATGACTAGAGCTTTCCTGATACATTGCAGTAGTGTCTCCAAATGAAAAACTTCAGTTTTCCAATTAAAAGACTTGTGTTTTGATTTTTCCATCAATAAAATTCTAATTCTTGTTGCGTACAAGTTCTCATTATGCACAAAAGCAACACTAGCAGAGATGCATTTCCCAGGAGAACAGGCAAAAGCATCACGTGTGTGGCCCTGATACAAAAATTACCGCCAGAGCATATGCAGTATGGTAATACGGGGTTAAGCATGGCATGAAGGCTCACGTGGTGGCCCAGCAAACATGAAGAACAACAGGATTTTGAACAGCCATATGATCCGGGCATTTAGTTAGGGCTTTCTGAACATGCACACTTGAAAAACCAGTTTAGCAGCAACATGTGCTGGTTGAACACAGAGTCAAGCAAGTACGTCTGATGACACTTCTGCAGGGCATCAGGGATGGGAGGTGTCCTTCAGAGTCGCAGGACTGCAATTGTATCCTTTTTGTTAATGGCTGAGCCATGCCAAAGGAGGTCACACTTCCATTTCAGAAAACCTGTTCAATCTAAACAAGAGGAGAAACTTTTTTACTGTAAGGCTGACAGAGCACTGGCCCAGGCTGCCCAGAGAGACTGTGGAGTCTCCTTCTCTGGAGACATTCAAAACCCACCTGGACGTGTTCCTGTGTGACCTGGTCTGGGTGATCCTGCTCTGGCAGGGGGATTGGACTGGATGATCTCTCAAGGTCCCTTCCAACTCCTGATATTCTGTGATTGTGTGAAACCTGTAACGCTGACTGCTTCTTGTTTGGGCAGTCTTGGGCTAGGTTGGTTGAGAGAGGAACTCTCTTTGGTTTGATTTGTGCAGCATCCAGCACGAGGAGTTGCATACCTGTGAGTGAGGTTCCCCAGGGTCTGTGGCAATGAGAGCAAAGTGATGTCCTGTTCTCTAAAATTACATTTTGGTAAAATACATGCTCTAAAACCGCCCATAAAATTCACACAGACAAAATGTTTAATGTGAGTCCTGGTTGAATTGAACCGATTAGAGGCGGCATTAACATAGAGGGAGCACTTCTCTGAAAATCAGCAGTTTTAGAAAGAACTGAAGTCTTGTTTGTCTGGTGAGGTATCACAGGGACTTTTTCAGTCTGTGTTTTGAGTAGTTAATAGTTTTACCTGAACGTTAGAGATGTTCTGTGTGTCACTTAACAGTTTTTATTACGTTCTGCTGAAGACATGGAAGTTTGTTGCTGTGAAGCAGTTTGAAGTTCTATGACTTCACAGATATAGGCAGCATCAGCGGTTGTTCATTGTGTGTATTTATGATTTTAGTGATTTACAAGATGCTGGAGGTTAAGCCGCTCAGCTGTCACCACTCCCTTTCAGTTTTGCTGCTGATGGAAACACCTCAGCAGCAGCAAGTAAACTGCTGGCAAAAGGAACTGCAGCACCAAGATAAAGTTGTTTCTAGTCTAAGTGCTTCTCAGTTGAGAATCACAGTATGAGGAAAAAGCATATTCAAGGAATCAGTCAATTGTAGCTTTTTTCTAACGTACTGTATTTACAACCTCTGACAATTTGAGCTGAGCGCAGCAAAAACCTGGCCTAATTGCAAAGACCGCAAAAAAGTACTTGTACTTTTTTTCCCTGAATGAATGGTTATTTCTTCAGGGTGAAATGCATATCTCATTACAAAAGAAAACAGTAACAGTGCTGTGTCTGCACTCATTAAGTGGTAGGAAAAGAATGTACAAGTCCAGATTTTCGTTTGGGCCTACCTAGGTTGCAGATCACACACTGGAGCATATCCCCCGATGTTTCTAATTCTGAAGGGAATATTGTACATTTTGATGATACTTTTATTACCGCTTTTCACTTCCAAGAATGTCTGTAAGATTTGGGTACAGCCGTGTGTGATAGTATGTCAAGAGTGAGTCTGTAATTCTAGAGTGTAAGGATTGAAAATAACACAGGTTTTCATAATCTGTAATTCATATGAGCACCGAAGTGTTTAAGCTTTGAAAGAGATATGCATTACTTCTATGAGACTGCATGTAAATACATGTATTTAGGCAACTTTTTTTTTCAACATTGCTGACCTCCTTTGTAACATACTGTTGTTTTTTTCATCCTAGGTCTGAGGGTAACTGTGTTGCTAACATCATCCCTCATGGTACTGGGAGCTGGCCTGAGATGTGTTCCAGTTTCAGACCTCGAAATTAGGAAGAAGTAAGTGAATTAGTTATTTTTAATATACATATTTTATACTTTCTGTTAATGTAATTTTTGCTGCTACTGCAAAGAAATGTTAGTATAAATTTTCTGTATGAATTTGATACACCAAGTGTTTGTTGTGTGGATGTGGGCTTACATGCCGCTTCGCTTCTTAAATAGATTTTTCTAGTCCTTCTTCTACATAGTATCTGAAGATCAGGAAGCCCTTTACAAACTTGAGTTAATTAAGCCTCACCCCATCCTGCATAACTAATATGAATCTGCTTTGCAAACAAGGAAGCAGAGATTTAGAAAGGTTCAGAAACTGGCTCAAGATCACACAGGGAACCATACACAAACCCCCAAAATATGTAATTTATATGCAAATGTTAAATAATTAGTTCATGTTTTTCATATCAGTTATAGGGGATTATACAGTGAAACAGATGAATTTAGGAAAATGGCCTTTTTCGTGTAGTCTCTTGCAGTTTGCACTGTGAAGTAGCCTTGTACTCTGGTTGAAATGAGTGCCTTCTGTTCACATGCAATGTAAGAGCTTATTATAGAGACAAATTCCTTCATAAAAATCACACAATCCAATCAGTTCAGTTGTCCCATCAGTGTATCCTGAACCTGGGAATCTTCGGTAAGTACGGCAGTCGCACTTGTTTTGTACAGCCAGGGAATGTGGATCGCTTGTTGTTCACTTAACTTTCTTTTGCCTCTCATGCTGAAGGGGGAAGGAGTACAGGCATTACTGCGTTTTTCCACTTCTTTAAAAACAGTAATAGCAGTACTGCTTCACTAGGTATGCCTGCATAATTTGTAAACACTAATAAAAGAACTTACTTATTTATAAGTTTTTATGTGGGTTTTTTCCCTTGAATTCTAGTCAGGTTCCAGGCAATTCTTGTGTTATTTCAGCAACTACTTTTTTTTTTTCCTTATCATGAAAATCATCTTGAAAACCTTTAAGTTGAGAAAGAAAATGTTTGTTGTGAAGTAGAAAGGAGATGACTGAATACCATGGATAAAACAAAGGAAAAGGTTCAGAGACAGGACTGAGAATGTAATTAAATCACTGATTGTAAAAACAGCCCCGATCAGGAGTAAGTAGTTAGTATGTAGTGAATGGCTTAGTAAACCAAGTGGAGTGTGGCGAGTAGGGAGGATGCAATTTCAGTTCTTAGGTGCTTAGTGAGCATATAATGAAACCCATGGTGCTCCTAATTTTGATTGCCCAGTGTTGCCCATTTCAGTGTGGTGTTCAAGGACTTTGTGAGCAGGGGAGGCTGAACTGACTGTATTGTGCTGCTGGCCACAGTGACCCTTGTATGGTGAAAAGGTACCGTTAAGGTGCCCAGGAAGAGCTGTCCTCATTGTGTCCTTGTACCTTTTCTCAAGAGGGTGTTCAACATCCAGGTCATCCGTTCTGACCAGTCTTGGATTAAATGTCTTTTAAATGGGACAGATGGCTTAAATGCAATAAAATGTAGTGTTTTATGTAGCTTTTCATTTGTCATCTATGCCAAAAGACTTGTGCTGCTCTAGGCCTTACCAAAGTCTAGGAAAGAACCAGAGAAGAAATTCCCAAATGAGATTTAGATGTGAGGTATCATTTGGGGAGCAAGAAAGAGAGTTTCCACATGTTCTGATCACCTTTAAACAAGGTTTTCCTTGTAACTGCAGTGAAGAGACCTAGGAGAACAATGAAGAACAATGAGAACAATGAACAATGAAGAGACTTAGGAGAACAATGAAATAAATGCCCAAGGAGAAACATTCAAAGAACAGCGTCTTTAACGAAGGAAAGAAAGGCCGTGGACTGTATAGAGTCTGATGAGAAGTATAAAATATGATGGTACATTTTACTGAAAACTGTATAGGTAAAAAAGAAAGAGCATGAGCAGAATCCTGCTGGAAAAGGTTACTGATTTCATTTATTCATGCTGTGAAAATACCCATCATCTCCAGCTGCAATTGATCAATTTGCTTACTTAGCCTACTCCAAAAAATGAGAAATTTTCAAGAATTGCAGCTTTACCCGCAGAAGTAGTTTGATCTTTTACGGTTTGATTAAAAGTCTACAGAGAATTAATTACAGCTGCGTGAAGCGAAAGGGTGATTTTCAGTGAACATTTCTTGAGATATTATTAATTGTGGACTGTGTGATGTTATACCAGGTAACCTGCTTTGTTCTGAGGGCTATGACTGAAAGCAAATTTTCATCAATAACTTGAGGTATGGTACCAAATAAAATAATATTTTTGAGATGAGCATTAGTGCTTAATATATTAGTAAAAACTGGCTGAGCACTAAACTATACACTTATTCCAAATGTGTGTATGTGTTAATGTGACAATTTGAACATTACAGAGCTGGTCAGATGGACGAGGTCACACAAAAGCTATTAGTGGAGCATTTCAGAATCCAGTGTAACTGGAATTTCTTTAAATGCTTTTGCATGTTTTGTAGTATGTTCCTGGGTAATCTGCAGTAATAAACTGAAGGATTTCCGTGGGACAATTATGTCAGAATTAAGATACATCAAGCTACAAGAATGTTCATGACGTTTGTCTGGTTTAGGGGTTTTTTTCTGCTTTATAGCTGTGTCTGCTCTCTAAGCTCTTGTAATTTAACATGAAGGAGAGCTGCTAAAGCCCATCACCTATCAGAGCAATCACAGATGTGAGGAAATCACCGTTAAGGCTGACATTTAATCCTGACTGCTTTATGCTCCTTATCTCACACAGACCTGCAATATCCAAGTGCATTCTTAAGCTCCTTTCTAGTCTGTAATTATTCTTTTGGCTCTAGCGTGTAACAGCAGACCAGGACTATCTCCAGTTCTTTAAACACAAACCTTAACCTCTGCTTTCAGTTCAGTTGATGGCCATGTATGTGCATGACTTGTGTGAGTGAAAATTCAGGTTGCATATTTGAGTGTGTCTCTTGAATGGTGAATTTTTGTTCTCTGCCAGTGTGTGACCTAAAATTGACCTGGGAATCCGTGCCAGAACCACATGAATTCAGTGAAGGCTGAGTGGGAGTGCATGGTGAAGATGTGTAAGTGTGGTCTTGCATGTGAGATTGAGGAACTGTCCTATACTTGAACTAGTAAAGTCCCTCTCACATATACATACATATACTGACCTGCTTTCCTCCCCAGCCCCCTAAGGTGTGAGGTTAATGCATCACACAGGCAAGGAGGTTTAAAAGAATTTTTCTTATGTACCGTGCACTTCTGAATTTCTCAAATGTGCCAGATGTATGACAGTGAATTTGACTTTTAAAAATAAAACTCCAATTTCTTCCTAAATGTTACAAAAACCTCATTTGCCACACCTATTTTTTAGTTCGTAGTTAATGTAAATTATATAGAACACACACATACATTAAAAAAAGTTACCAAATTGTACCATTCCTGAACGTGTACCTTCTTCTCTTCCTTTCCCTTCCCTGAAGGTTACAAGAACATCGCTAACACTTTTTGCCTGCATTTTGTCCAGTCCATTCCTTTTTGACTACTGCTTGGCACTGAGTCAGTATTTACAGGGGACTCTTTGCGAACTTGATTATTCTGTCCTGAACACTAACGTTACTAGCTAAAATCAGGAGTGTGTTTTCCCCCCACATAACACTTCATATTTATCTCATATTCTGTGCTTTGGAATAGATTTACATACAGCTTAGGTCTTCCATATGATTGTAAAATAATAAATCTAGACAAAAAGCTATATGAGCTGAAACATATAATAAATAAATGAGTCCATAGCCATAAATATGTGGCTTTTAAGGCTGACCGTGTGATGTAAGACTTCTTAAAAAGCTTTGAAAGACAGGATAATTAAAGACATGTAAGTAAAGGATGTAACATAATTTGTCGTTTGTGTTGAATATATTAATTAAGCAATTTATTAGAACTTAGTATGCTGTGAGCTGGTAGGGTTTGGCCTTCACATTAGATTTCAGAACAGACAAGTGGTTATTGAGGACCTTGAGTCACAGCAGTGAGAGGGCGCTCCTTGGCAGTAAGTGTCATTGAAACATTTGTCGGGAAGCCAGCAAAACAATAATGCAGGGAATGACAGTGGAAAACAGGAGCGGTTGTGTACAAAGTCACTCGTGGGGGACACACCAGTAATTGGGAGTTCCTGTAAAAAGGCTTTTTCTTTCATAATACTGCTTGTTGAGTTTTTGAAAACTTTTGCCTGCTCTTGGATACATTGATGTTAACTTTTCCCTTTTTTACATTTGTAGATTCACTCTTACCACATCTTTGGTGCGTTTTGTTTCTGATAGCTAGTTGCAACCTAGTTTGGGTCAAGTATGTTATACTTGTTAGATATATTCTTTAAGAGTTCCATATTTTCCCTTTTTCATTTCTGAAAGCCTAAAGAATGACATGGGATCATCTCATTATTTGTCTTTCCTGATCCTAAACCAACCATAAGCCACCATTCTCATGCATGACAAATGCAAAGGGACACCTTAGAAGAGGTAATTCAGTAAAGAAAGGATATGTTAGGGCTCTCATGTTCCCTGGCAATACCGAACACAGTTCTGTGCTCGAAAAAACCACCCTATACTGGAGCAGCTGTGGGGAAGAACGATTACAACGTCCCAGAGAATGAAAAGAGCCTTTTAGGAGAGGATGGTAGAAGAAACTGCCTGTAAAAATGCAGTGTCACGTGTTCCCTAACTCACTGAGGAAGGGAAATGAAAAAAGGATTTAATCTAAAGCATGGTTCTGGGAGTAAAAAGATGAGTAAGCGTACCTGTTTGTATGCTGGAGCTCGGGGAGCATAGAAGGATGTGAAGCTGGGGCACTTGCCTGGCGCTGATGGCACTTACTGGGTTGTGCTTCGACTGCAGTGCTGGGGGAAGGCTGAGTTGGGCTAACAAATGGTGTCAAAAGAAGAGGGAAGTGGGGAACAAAGGAAACAGGGAATACTTAATCTTTATAAATCTGTAACTTAACAGTTTGGTTGTTTTTTTTTTTAACCTTTACCAGC